TATATATATTTTTTTTTTTTTTTTTTTTTTTTTTTTTTTTTTTTTTTTTTTTTTTCCCAAAGAAAATACTTATTCAATAAGGACGTTGGATTAAAAATGACATTATTATTGCAAATAAATTCTGATGAAAAATATGAAGCAGCACAACTGTTTTCAACACTGATAATAACAAATGTCTCTTGAGCAGCAAATCAGCATATTAAAATGATTTCTGAAGAATCATGTGACACTGAAGACTGGTGTAATGATGCTGAAAATTCAGCTTTGCGTCACAGGAATAAATTACATTTTAAAATATATTTACATAGAAAACACTTATTTTAAATTGTACAAATATTTCAGAATTTTACTGTAAGTGAAAATACAGAGGACAGAAAACTGATGTCTTGTAAAACTCACAAAACTCTGCTTTGAAATGTTAATTTGAAGTTACCTCACACATCTATATGCAAGACGCAATCTGAAAATAAATTAAATACAACCAATCATCTCCTCATTTCATGGAATGTAAAGTATCAAAAGCTCAGGATGATCTCTATAAAATACAACCACTCAAATATGACTTAAAGCTGTGTGGCATCAGAAAATTTGGCCAAACAGACAAAACATTCCAGGAGGATCTGAAATTACTTTCTGATGTTCTTGAGAGAGCTGGAAGATTCTTCTTTGTATAGCTGCACATGCAAATACAGTTAATTAAAGAGCGCATGGTTGGTTTGAAGGAGAATAAAAAGAGCATCATTCACATCAGCGGCACAGGAATCAACACCCAGGAAAAATAAAACAGCTATTTCTGTCCTGAAACATAAACCCAGTCCTCTGTCTTTCTACTGAAATGGACTTGAGGAATGTCTTTGAGTGCCTCCCTCTTGTAAAGTCTTCTTTGTATCCCAGTGGCCAGTAGCAAATCAGCGAAAGTTGAGATGTTATCCTGTTCTGCAGCTGACTGCCTGCTTTCAAATGCAAACAGGCTTGGCTTTGGCCTCTTCATCTCATCAGACCCTGTGTGTGTGTGCAGCTCTCTCTTTGTGTTTCATGATGGCTGACGTTTAGGCCTTCCTTGCTGTCAAAGCTCTGGATTAGAGCGAGATTAGACTAGTGCTAAATCTCCATCAGATTAAAACTTTTCACTCCTCGGCTAAACAACCGGTGACCCTGAAACTAAAGGTCAAGTATCAGCATTCAAGTGTTGGAGAGTCTCTTAAGTACCCAGTGCTCTGATATTCATGATATTCCTGCTGACAACCACACAAAAGTTCAGACTATTCATCAGTTTAAGGATACTGAAGTCTGTATTAGTTTTTCTAAACTGTCAGTATAAATAGTACAGTCAGCAAATCAGTGGTATGAGTGGTTATGAATGAATGAATGAAACGAATTTGTCCGTGTTTCACTCCGTCTCGAATCGCACTTAGTGTTTCTTCCGCGGCTCGATACGCTTTCAATTCGTTTTTTTTTAGTCTCAAGCAAGACTGTATGACATTCATATTACATGATTTGACTTCTTTTTACGTAGAAAGGAGCGACAGTGCACCACATTAAAAGAAATGATCATTCATGTTTTCATAACTGCTGGCCAAATTAAAAAACTAAACTAAAATTAAATCATCTTTGAGAGCAAGGGGGCCCCCTGGTGTTTCAGGGCCCTACGCAGCTTGCGTATTTTGCATATAGGGAGGATCGGCTCTGGGTGGAGGTACTGGTCTGCTTATCTCTAATGATTGGAAATTTATTCCTTTACCTTCTCTAGGTATTAACAACTCCTTTGAATCATATTCAGTCACTCTTACCCACCCTTTTAAAATCCATTTTGTAGTTGTTTATCGACCCCCAAAATCACTTTCACTGACTTTTAAATTAAATGTTCCCTCCTGGTGGAATGACCTGCCGATCTCAATCCGAGCAGCTGAGTCCTAAGCCATCTTCCAGATTTGACCCTCTAACTCTAGCTCTCTCTATTCTAATTATATTCTTTTAAAAAAAAACTTGTCCCTTTTAGACTTGCAATCTATTCATTACTGCTTGTTTTCTTTAAAAAAACAAAACAACAACAACAACACTAGCTTTTCTAATCTTTTTGTATTCTATCTATTTGTTTTCTTTTTATTTATTATACGATTAACAAAAGCAAAAAAGGCCTCTAACACTAGCTTGCTCTATTCTTTTTCTATTCT